CTATGGGAAGGTATGGAGGAAAAGTGCTCTAAAAATCTGTAAACCCTAGACACGTTCATCACTGTCAACACTTTTCTCTGGTTACAGTTATAAGAAGTGCTGAAACTCATATTTTGTTAAGTTAGAAAATGTCTCTCCTGTTCAAGACCCTTCAAAAAAATAGTATATGTATATATTTTCTTATATATATATATATATATTTTATATATAAGTATTTTGTTTATAGATCCTATTATACATATGTGTGTGTATGTAAATTGTTTAATTAAAAATCCCCCTCTCACCCCCTTCCCTCCTCTTAAGTCATTCTCCTCTGTTGGATTTGAGGTCAACTTTAAAATTCACAGTTGACCACTAAAAATACATTAAAAAGCCAAAACGCTTAATGTGTCCACTTTAAGTTTTCAGTACTTTTTAACAGTCCGGTTAAGAGTTGTATCTGGGAGGAAAGAAGCTGTAGAGTTGGGGAGACTGAAGACAGAGTAGAGATGGGGTGGGGTCGCTGGGGCCAAGTCCTGGGGAGACCAAGAGGTGGGGCTGGGAGGCAGAGGTGGGGAGAGAGGCTGGCCCTGATGAAGAGGAAAGGCAGGAGGAGCCAGGTGACTGGCGGGTAAGTTTGTGGATCAAGTAGGAAACTAAGACAGATAATGCTCTTGCCTCAAGTTTCTCCCTGTAGAGACTGAGGCAGGTTCTTGGGGAGCAGGGAAAGCCCGCCCTGTAGCTGGTGATGGGAAGAAGGAGGCTTCTAGATACACGTGCGCCCACAAAAGTTGGTATTAAAAATCTCCTATGATGACGTTAAGGAAGTATCAGGCAGTGCGGTTAATCACATCGGCCACAAAACCTCTGCTCCTCCCACACATGAGTGGGGCTCACTCTCCTCCCGTGACCCTTCAGTGGCTTACGTGACAGGTGGATGGTGGCAGAGGTGACGCTGCCTCACTTCTGAGGCTCCTTGAGGAGCAGCTGGTAGATCTCTGCCTCAGCCTCAAACACCGGTTCTGGGGGGCTCTCTGCCACGCAGACATCCTCCCCCAACCCCCGATTGCCACTCTGGAGAGGCCTCTCTGAGGATCCTGATGGTCCCAGCCTCCCAGCTGTCCCCGCTAAGGCACTCGAGGTGCCCTAGACATCAGTGAAGCCCAGACCACATGGCGGCCAACCCTCAATGAACTTAGTCAATCCAGATGGAGAGGACCGCCACCAAGGCTGCCCGAATTCATGACCCACAAAATAGAGACCATAAATGGTGGTGGTTTCAACAGCAAATTTGGGGCTAATTGGCTAAGCAGTAATAGTCATCAGAACAAGTAACATCCACCACTGCTGAAAACACCCACCTCCTATGACCTACCAGGTCCGCTCCTGGG